AAAAAAATTAAATGTGATTTTCATTATCAAATCTGGAATTATTCTTTTGATATTACAAACAAACACTCAAATTTTATTACATGTATATATTGTTAGTTATTAGACAGAAGAGATTGCGCGTGTTTGACAGATCCTGTCAATTCAAAGTCAATTTTATCTCGTTTCATATAAGAGAACAAACAAAGTTATCGTTTTTTATTTATAGAAACATTTTATTACACCCGCAAAATGATTGCATGCTCTCATTAAAAACCTTGGCTAGATGGCGCTGGCGTCTTATAAAAGTTGCAGCAAAACTATGTCTTCATTAAAATTCCACACTTGTATACGCTTTGAGAACTCTTATGTTCACTTTGTGTTCGAGGGTAAGAACATAATGTACTTTAATTGGATTTTCAGTCAGACTAAACGACGTTAATGTACGCACGGTGCTTACGTGGCTTTCATTCCAAGTAATTACTTAGTTAAAACTTAATGTTAGAATATATTGAAAGTAAGTAATAAACATTTCCCGCAATTCTTATGTTATCACTATTTTAATTAAGAATATGAGAGAAGACAGTAAATAAATAAATAAATAAAATAAAATTATGATTAATCCTTGTCAACACTACAATTATGAATAAAAAAAAGTAAGTATTTTACTTCTCACTAATATCAATACAAACGTTTGGATGTTTATTACACGGAACGGCTAAATTAATTTTGCTGAAATTTGACATAAATGTAGAACATAAATGTATTTCGCAAATACAATAGGCTACATAAGTTTTAAATTTTTAATTCCGCGCGGACGGAGTCGCGGGCAAAAGTTAATCTATACTTCGATATCTATACTAATATTATAAAAAGGAAAGTTTTGTATTTTTGTATGTATTGAAATAACTTAAAAACTACAGGACCGATTTTAAAAATTCTTTCACCGTCACAAAGGTAATTTATCTGTGAGTAACATGGACTGTTTTTTTTATTATTTTTTAATTCCACACGGACGGAGTCGCGAGCAACAGCAAGTGTAGATAAAGTAACCCCGTTAGACTTGATTACGGAAGGAGTTCGAGGAATTGATATTAACATTAATAATTGGAAGTACTTCTACACTATTGTGTGGACAAATAAAACAGGACTTGTTTATTTTATTATGTACACAACAATATTACTTTTAGAGCGATAATGGACGTCTATTTGTTGATAAAACAAATAAGATTAAATCCCCAATATCCTAGTTTCAAAGGATTTATCACCAAAGAGAGTGATGACTGAGATGACGTATGATATAGTTATTTGGAGGACAAAAATCTAACGCGTCGACGCTACCGGAGTAGGATTAGGAGGGTGATGATGATGATGAGCCTTGTGGTTAGGATGACGTTAACATCCGCTATCATGGTCGTAAATTTGACTCCAGGATTATTCCCGTGAATCATAGTAAAGGGGTTTAATTTCGA